TCGCACATAGAAGAATGTGTCAAACATGCATACTTCCAGCTGACTCTTTCTCCGTCGTGTACTACTAATTTATTGTTTTGGGACTCTTCAACTTCTAAGGTCATTGTGGACCGTGGCTGAGATGATAGCAGTAATGTTGTCGAGGCGAATGACAGAGAAACGGAAAGAGGTGAGAACCTTGAGAAAACCCGCCACGAGCTTGTTCTGCGCACCGCCAGCTGCGCATGAGTTGGCCGGGCAGCGAACTCGGGGCCCCAGTGGCGGAAGGCGTCTTCGCCACGAACCCCCATACCGGCAGAGTGGGCTTAGGGCATGAATTGACGTCTCTGCAGTGCCTCTGACCGGGAGGTGCTAGTGTTAGAATCCAACGGTGGCAGGATTTTCGTCGTAGCTAGGTCGAGTTCAGCCGCTGCCTCGAGAATTCTAGCAGCTGGACGCTCTGATCGGTGATTTTTCGTGGTTTCTTCCGTCAGCACCTGGCGAATTGTGCATTTTTTAAATTGAATCTTTTTTGGGAACATGGAAAGGGCAAAAATGTCCAAATTACGATGTGTAAATTTTCCCGACACCCTTGGCCTGAATGCTGTCCATAATCTTCTTTCAATAAGCAAAAAATCCCCTTTTTTTATCACTTTGTTTATAACAAGATGGCTATATGCGTACCCAGAGCCGGTTAGTCATCATCTTCACTTCGCGAGCGCAGATCACTTGAAATATGACTCGAAAAACAGGCTGGAGTTATCAAATACAGGAGCGGGTCATAACGTGACTCAACGTGCAACAATAACGAATCTTTTCGTGGATGATGCTACCCCAGTGAAGTATACAGTTCATGGAAGGTGCAGTTTTAATTTTCAGGGCGTCAGTAATCGCATCGTGTTCGGTCTCGTGGTGGATATACAGTCGATCGGGTGAGGGGTGGCAAAAAATATCGTTTAGTTTAAAACCTCGATATCCCCGAGCAGAAACATCGATGTTTTGGCTTCGATGTTTCCTTCAAATCAATATATTTATTCAGAAACATCGATGTGTACAAAAAATGTTCATGATATAAATAAAATTTCCAGTATTTTATTTGTGGATTGCTCGCAATGAACAGGCGCTGACAACACTCACTATTGTCGATTCCCCAGGGGCATGAAACCATTTGCTATTTTCTTTCGAACAGAACTATTTTCTTCAGAGTTGTTACTTTTTTAAAATATTTTGTGCGTGGTAATATCGTTAAATTGCAATTTGAACCTTCCCTACCTAGAACGTTGATTAGTACATTAAGGTCACAGTCAAATTTAAGGCAAAATATACTTTAAACTAATATTGGAATGTTATTCTTACATTAGAAGTAGGGCATTTTATTTCGAAAAGTTTCATTATTTTTAAAACATCGATGTGTTTTGACAAATATAATGTTATAGAATATTACGAGACCCATTCTAAGAAAAAAAACTGTGACTGCCAAAAATATCAGGTCCAAAACCAAAATTATCAGTTTGAAAATGAAATTCCAAATATTTTTTCTCTCGTTGAATTGGGCACCAAAATTGACAAAAATGCCTTCAAATTCAACTATTTTCCCCCTCTCTGCTATTTTTTTTCAGCCTGATTCATGCAATAGTAGTTGAGAAAAAAAAAATAAAACGTGAAAAATACGTTTCTCATGGTATTTCTGCAACATATTGCCGAAGGAATATGATTTTTTGTGATCTTTTTTCATTATTTCAAATGAGTATCGTGATAATCGATTTGGGGGCATTTTCCACTACCATATTCGTCTATACCAGAGGTTTTCAAACTTTCGTCGTCCACGGCTCCGTTCACCTAAACGAAACCGCGGCTCCCCTGGTAATAATAAGTTAAATATAAATTTAAATACAAGGCCTACTAAAAAAATTCAACACAAATGAGTACGTGATACTACTCGCCCACGATTTCTTGAGCCCTCGCTTCGCTAGTTGCGAGAGGATTGGGAACTTTGGTTATATTGACAGAAGGAATTTTACGTCGAATTTGTAGTTCATTTTTCGGTGCAAAATAGTCTGTATTACATGGGAGTGAACATTTCTAGTTATCAGATGTTATTTGCAACACTCGTTCCCATCATTTATTCTTAATTCAACTAATGTTGGCGAAAGAGTGGAGGTAGGTATTCTGGAGATCAAGAAAACGTGCGCATATAAATATACTAGGCTATTGGTAAAGAACTTGTCAGATTTAATTAATCCACAATTAATTAGAAAAACAAATCATATATATTACAAATAACACACTATAGTATTATAGTACAAAATTCTTTTGTCGAGGAATGTCACACGGAATAAAGTAAATAAAATCTAAAGATCACTTTTAATTAACCACCACTACGCCCCTACCATATGGCCGCGACGCACAGTTTGAAAACCCGTGACCTCTACCCTCTGCCATCACTAGGTCGGCCATGCCGCAGGTCCAGCAGCGCTGGGCGGGGATTCTCCAAAGGTTCTGTGCCTCTCTGCGGGTCGCGCGGCGCGCAGAAGCGGACGGGCAAAGGGGGAGAGAGAGGGGGGAGGGGGCGCGGAAGTGTCGTCGGGCGCAGATGGCGCGGCTTCGCGATACACGCGCGCGATAACCGCGCCCGCCGCCCACGCGACCGACGACGCGACGTCGCCGCCCTGGGCCAAGGCGGTCGTCGCCTTGTCCCTCCTCCGCCCCGCACCTCAACCACGCGCGCTCGAATTTTCGCTCCTCAAGTCTGTGTTTAATGGTTTTTTCTTCTTTTTCTTTCTTTTTTTTCTTTTCTTTCTTTTCTTTCTTTTTATTCTTTCTTTCGTCTTCTTCTTCCTGTAACTTGCACTCACATTAGTATGAAGACATACTAGAAGGTGGTTAAGGTTGGTTCAGTGGCGAGGAATTTTGCACCCGGAAATCGGGATCGCGGGCATCTCGATGGATGAAAGTATTGTTCACGCACAACTGTCAGATTAGAAGCCATTGAGCTGAAATTTGGTGAACACCTCAGCGGTAAGGTCTAGTTGCTCCATTTCAAATATCAAGTTGATTTTTTAATATTGAGGAGAGGTCAACCTCTTGACATTTTCCGAGTTTGCTCCAAGTGGTGAAAAAGCGGACATATTTTCTTGAAATTTTCTGCTCGAATAGAGTAAAGGAGATTTATAAAACTGTCTAGTTCTGATTTTCACGAAATCCTCCAGATGTTTAAAATTCCAAAATTTCAAATTAATTTTCGAACCTATCCTACACCTTTGATATTAAAGCCTGATATTTCTTTCTCAATGTAATTTATTCATTAACTTTGTACATTTACATGTCGTGCACTTTGTATGCAACTAGAGGTGCTACAAACGAACACATTGTATGGCATTATCGGTCGGTACGAAACATAATATTGCAATTTATTCTCTGACTTTAGCCATCACTTGAAGATCTCCAAACATTCTCGTACGAAGCACCTCCGGTGCATATCTGCTATTATTTCGATAGTCACTAACAGTAGTCATTTTTTACTTCTACAAAAGAAACAAACATGAATAAATCTCGTGTTACAATATTTGAAGCTCATTCTACAGACGAGCAAGGATAATTGCACAAATAAAATAAACATCCAAATATGAAGACCATCCTTATGATTTCGTAAAATGTATTATACAGTTCTGTCACATATCATTAAATTGTTTTTTCTATAAACAAATAGAAACGTTTGTACGAAATCAATTCTTTTAACCAAATGCAACATCACAAAATGAACATTTGAGTATCGCCTGAGTGCTGTCTGAGAAGTGTATTTCAAGTACTTGGTTAGTTTCATAAATAATTCAAGGTATTTCATATTTTCTTACATGTTTATATTTTGTCAAAATCTCTGTACATATTTCAATGTAGTCTCCATTCTTGCCAGTTACCTAGTCTGGCTTTACAATTGCATCAATTATCCCTTTTTGGTTCATTTTACGATGACGGTTGCAGTAAGCTCTTGGAGAGATGAAAAACGACGTCTTCGCAGAGATTTTTTTTCAATTTTGGGAATAAGTCAAAATCGGCTGGATCCAGTCCATTTTACTTTGAAATGTTTCATAATATTGGAAACATAGATATTTTAAACATCGAGATGTTTGGCAAAGTTTTTCATCGACATGAAAAACCTTTTGGGGACGTACAGGGGCGGAGCATGGAAGTCATGCCCCCCCCCAAGACTTAACAAAAATCTATGATAGTCCTCTAAGACCATCAGCTGGATTCGAGTGATGTATCGATGGCTTGCTAAATCCTGGTGATGTATCGATGGTTTGCTTGCTAAATGCTGGAGGTGTATCCTGGTGATGTATCGATGGTTTGCTAAATCGTGGTGATGTATCGATGGTTTGCTAAATCGTGGGTGATGTCTCGAATTGGTTTGCTAAATCGTGGTGATTTATCGATGGTTTGCTAAATCGTGGTGATGTATCGATGTTTGCAAAATCGTGTGAGTATCGATGGTTTGCTAAATCGGTGGTGATGTATCGGTGGTTTGCCTAAATCGTGGTGATGTATCGACGGTTTTGCTAAATCGTGGTGATGTATCGATGGTTTGCTAAATCGTGGTGATGTATCGATTTCGCTAAATCGTGGTGATGTATCGATGGTTTTGCTAAATCGTGGTGATGCATCGATGGTTTTGCTAAAATCCTGGTGGTGTAATCGATGGTTTGCTAAATCATGGTGATGTATCGATTGCTTGCTAAATCCTGGTGATGTGTCGACGGTTTGCTAATCCTGGTGATGTATCGACGGTTTGCTAAATCCTGAGATGTTATCCTGGTGATGTATCGACCGGTTTGCTAAATCATGGTGATGTATCGATGCTTGCTAAATCCTGGTGATGTGTCGACGGTTTGCTAAATCCTGGTGATGTATCGACGGTTTGCTAAATCCTGGTGATGTATTGAAGGTTTGCTAAATGCTGGAGATGTATCCTGGTGTTGTATCGATGGTTTGCTAATGTGTGCCGTCGCCGTGTCGTGTTGCAGGAGGCCGGCCGTGGCTGCAAGGGCGAGGCAAGGCGAGGCATGCCCGAGGCCCCCGCGCGCTGAGACGCCGCCGCCATGGGCATGTGCTGCAGCAAGCCGGAAAACCGGCCCGTGGGTGAGTACGGGACCTCCCAGCTCTTCTTCCAAGCACTTTAAACTTACTTGCACTTTGTGCACGCCGTGTGCGAAACGGCTATTTTTTTTACAGTGTGCGAAACATCTGGAACGATTCACAATTGTCTTTCGTCTTGACGACGACTTTGTCTATTATTTACAAACAATAGTGCAACGACACTGACTGGAATCCGTTTACTTTTGTACAAGTAAAGTATTTCTAGTTATTTTATATTTAATTTATATTTCTTTACCTGACGCATTGCATTTCGTTTACGGTGTGTTAAAAAACAGTATGTGTAACACGGGCGCAAGGTGATTCTTGCAGACGCATCTTTGTCGTTCCTCGCTACGCTCGGACAACAAACTCGGCTCGTGCGTGAATCATCTGTTTCGCGCCCTAGTTACGTAAAATACTATTTTAATACGCCGTGCGTGAAACACGGTTTCTCGTGCTTATTTTCCGTGTGCAACATGTTTTCCTTCCTATTAGCGTTCAAAAATTATTTCGCAAACGGCGTTTTAAAATGGAGTATAAGCCAGGCCCGATGGATAATGATTGGTAGCTATTCTCAAACGAAAAAAATTCCGATTGGTTAAAGTACCCATTCGGAATTTAGGGTGACTGAAATATTCCATATGTGTCAGATTCCGGAAATAAACGTTTCTCTGTAGAGCATCGACTCAAAACGTATATGTGATAAACTATGTCGTAAGATCGACTCAACAGGATTGCGATTTTACATCTTTATTACAACATGACCGACAAAATCGATTTGCAAAAGTTGTTAAATAGTTTGTATCAAAAAATGCAAAGCGCAGCATTGTTTTGCATTGCAAGAATGATCTGTTGAAGTTACATAAAATAAATGTGATAGCAATTTGATGACAATTTAATGATAAAATGAAAGTTTGAAAAAATCTGTTTTGTATTTTCCCCTCTCATATGCATTTTCGTTTGGAGATGGTGGGACGAGAGGAAGGGAGGGGGGACCCCAATCTGTCTTAACTGTTCACTTGGACTTAGCACCATCCGCCGGCCCTGATATGAAGGTTCCACACATGCCGAAATCCCGGAGTAGTGTGGACAGATTCGCCGAGCGCCGAACGTTCGGTATTAGCTGAATGTCTGTCTTTAGGACACATTAAATGGAGAGACCATTCGCCGAACATATCAGCTGTTCTGGATTGGGCGAACAGTAGCTCGCTGCTCGGCGAATGCCGAATGTGTTCAGCCGCATTAATATAATTATGTAAGATACATTATGAAGTTGCATTAATAGTATTATGAAAGATTTATAAGAGATAAGTATCTAAACTCGAGACATTCTTGGTTTGAGTTCATACTTTTCACAGAACGTTCACATTTACAAACAATTGCAGTACATTTTGAAGTTACTGACTTTACATGTAATTTACGTAAGTCTTCAAGGATGCGTGCTAACGAATGCATTAGCATAAAGATAAAAATTAGAAATGTCCCCTGAATTTTCGAAAATTACATTTCCAGCTTTATTGCTTTTCTACATATTCCTTAAATATTGAAGACACTACAGCATTGAAGATTTTTTCCTAAATGAAATCTCTTCTTCAAGGACATATTGAAATAAGAACACGTACAACTTTTTGTGAATAGGAGTAGATTTAGGGCAATTTTTAATGAAATATAGGCAGGTTTTAAACAACTATTACTCTCAAAAATTCCAAATTATTATCCTTGCCTGGACGGTAAAAATGCTGGTTAAAAAGTTTATGCTGGTCCCATTTTCGGAGAACTCTGGATTTTCGAAAATTGCAAAAATTAAAAATGTTGCAGAAGTACAATATTGATCATAGTTTTTTCTTTAATGAATTTGTTCTAAAATATTAATGTTTTATGTAAGGTCTTTTTTTTTGAAAAGCGAGTCATTTTTTGGTAATTTCCATATGGAGTTCATGCAATTGAGAAAATTTTATCAAAATCTGTTCTTTCAATTTTTTATGGATGGAGCAAAGGGCGCTTAGAGAATGGCGCGTGCCTAATTTTAGTTGAACTTTCTTAGTTGTATTTTCGAAAATTGGAAAAGTCAGAAAAAAATGCGAGAAACTGTGAGCATTTGGAGCTTTAATGATGTTTCTGAAACTTTTTTTTGTGAAAATAGTGGAGGAAATTTGTTCTCAAGATCGTTCTATCTTAGTAATGATACTTAGTAATGATCCATTGTAAAGCCCCAAAATAAAATAGTACATAAATGTTCGCGATCTTTTTATACTGACTACATGTGTTTTATATAGTAATGGTAATTATAATGTTGGAATTTGTTAGTAAATAGGAGAGTGGGGTTAGGGAGTGGGAAATCAGTTGGGAAATATTTATTTTAGGTCAGAATTATTGTTTAAAATGTTGAATTTTATTTCGCTTGGAGGCAGGGTTTTTCATCATGTACAGATAGACTCCTTATAGACAACATTGGATAAAGAGATGGCGAGAAAACATACGATTGTCAACTTTATTTTCATAAGGATGTGAAACTTGCGACTTAGTGATAAAATTCGTGAGATATTCAATTTCATTTGTGGTCAAACACCGTCAAATCGCCTTGTAAAGAGTTCGCAAGTTCAGCGTTCATGAAACTGCCTGTCGGGAACTAAAACCTGTCCGCCCAGGCCCGACATTATTTCTACCATAGCGATACTCGGAAAATTCCCACCACTGCTCTGCACGATGCTAAACCACCAATTAGATGCCACGTGTCTGCTAGTTATAGGATGTGAACGCGCACAGCTACGCAATGCTTTCCTGGAAAAGGGGCATCCTTCAATGTGAATCGAAATTATTCCGTCTATGAAGTCTCAGGCTTGCGAGAAGAGTGGCTTGGACGTCAATGTGTATTGAAATAAATGAATACTCTCGCGTTTAGTTACATCGTCTATTGTTTTGCAAATGGTGTTTAATTTCCAATTATTACTGGGGAAAACCTGAGATATGGCATAACATTCTGGGGAAATACATATTATAGCTCCGAGACTTTTAGATTACAAAAAAGAATTGTACGAATAATAAGCAAACCCCATCCACATAATTCATGAAAGCCTCTCTTTATTAATCGAGATATTTTACCATTACTTTGTCTCTTGATATATGAATCTGTAACTTTTCTTAAAAATTGCTTGCTTATGGGCGGGAATATATTTTCAGCAAACGCAGATGTCTATAACTACAACCGTCGACGTATTAATCATATTCATCAAGTGACAGTATCAACAGCTCAGTACAAGAAATTCACATACAATACATGCACCTCGCCAGATGACACAAAACGAATAAATTCAATACAAACGTTTAAGTCCCGAGTAAAATCTTTTCTGCAGCACAACTGTTAGAGACAACAATTAGAGACTATACCAAGCATTCAAAAGGAAAGTAATATTAATTTTAACAATGACATTTAATGTATTCTATACCATTTGGATTGTATAATTGTAAAGAACCTGTAACAAGTATTGCACTTCAGTGTCTGGGTCAATGACCCCATCTCGATCAGGTTTTCGTTCAGTTTCTCTGACCCTCGAGCAATTGCTGAAATAGCCCCTTGTTTTGCTTCTAAACAAAAATGTAGCTTCAAATTAACTTCTCCTCATCGCACGTGACACACCGTTTTTAACTGTTTTTGACGTAAATAAATAAATATATAAAAAGTGTTCCTGTGACACTTATCGGCGCCAATATTAGTGCGGCCGATTTCGTGATAATATAGGCCGAGTTTTTCTTGTAAAGAACGGTCCAAACCAGAAGTATGCAAGCTGAGTTCACTTGATCAAAAAGAAAAATCATTTTTACATCAGTAACATATCCAACAGCTCCAGTTGTTCATCTGAAGTGGTTTAGATCAAATTTTTATGTCATTTTTCTTTGTTTTTAGAGTATTTTAACAACATTTTATTGATCATTTTTGGCAATGTTTTAGGCCATCAAAATCCTCCTTCTAGTATTAACACTTAACAACTTCGTGCTTTGGTGATTTATCGCAATATTTAGTAAACAACGATCAATTCATCCAAGTAGACCAATGATTTGATTTGATTTACTTAGTCAAAAAATAGTACAAAACTGCAAGTGCTGTAACCTGTAAACAGTAAAAACTGAACGATGTCTTGAGTTCCAGAATCCCTTCCCACCATTTTAAGTATAAATAGATGAAGGATGAGTAAAAGTTAAAAAAGCGCGAGATTGGCGACATTTAGAAAACTAGACATTTTCGTTCCTGCGTTATACAAAACTTATTTGCAACACTAAACGAACTGCAGGTTTGATATTTCTGCATTGCTAACAAAATAGTAACTCGCTCTTACCTCGATTCCTACCACTACAAGCAAAAGGAGAGTTCAACAAAACGCGCGCATAGTGAGGCTATATTATCGTCCAGAAGCAAAACAGGGTACCATCTCGGCATTTGCTCTATGTATCAGAGAAACTGGAGAAAAACTCGATTGAGATGGGATGATTGTGATGGTGTGAAGTCTTAGGCTCCTGCGGCCAGTCATGTGCGTGATCTTGGCTGTCCGGATGACGCCGCGCCGAAGGCTGTGGTCTGCATACCAGCCTTGAGGAAGACCACGACAAGATGGTCGAAACGTCGGCCTTCGACGCGGCACCCGAACAGCCAAGATCACGCATTGTGTTGGTGTGTTCCCAGTGTACTCGTACCACCCGGGCTACAGCAAGCATGACGGCTCGGACACGGGCGCGCATAGTCCCATTAATTATTAAACAATACTCAATTCGTCCAAATAACCGAATGATTGTGTCGGTGTGTTCGCAGTGTACCACCCGGGCTACAGCAAGCACGATGGCTCGGACACGGGCACGCACGGCAGCAACGGGGGCGACCCGCGGTACGCGCCGGACCCCAACCGCCCGGCGACGGTGGTGCGCGGCGCGGCGCGCCCGGCCGTGGACATCATCCGCACGCCCACCACGCCGTTCCACCCCAGTGCCGCCGCGCGCCGCATCGTCATCGCCATGTACAACTACCAGGCGCGCGAGGCCGCGGACGTCTCCTTCATGAAGGGCGACCGCATGGAGGTGCTCGAGGACAGGTGGGCTCGGCTTCCTTCGAAATTCTCCTCCTGCGTCCCGTAATTTCTTTCTCTCTCTCTTTCTCTCTCTCTTTCTCTCTCTCTTTCTCTCTCTCTCTCTTTCTCTCTCTTTCTCTCTCTCTCTTTCTCTCTCTTTCTCTCTCTTTCTCTCTTTTTCTCTCTTTCTCTCTCTTTCTCTCTCTTTCTCTCTTTCTCTCTCTTTCTCTCTCTGTCTCTCTTTCTCTCTCTGTCTCTCTTTCTCTCTCTTTCTTTCTCTCTCTCTCACACACACACACACACACCTTTGCAGTGTAAGTCGACAATTTTGCGTCAACAGCAAACGCCGTTATCTATAACTACAATACTCGACGTAGTAATCACATTCATCAGGTAACAGTATCAAAGCTCACTGCAAAAAATTTTCATATAATACATGTACATTATTTTACAATACCTTGCCAGATGATTAGATTCGATAAAAATATTTAAGTCCCAAGTAAAATCTTTTTTGCTGCTCAACTGTTTCAATACAATTAGAGACTATACTGAGCGGCCAAAAGGAAAGTAATATTAATTTTTAAAATGACATTTAATGTATTATATATCTTTTGGATTGTGTAATTGTAAAGAACCTGTAACAAGTATTGTACTTCAGCTTCTGGGTCAATGACCCCCATCTCGATCAGGTTTTCGTCCAGTTTCCCTGATCCTCCTGCAAATACTGGGAAGGTCCCTTGTTTTGCTTCTGTACATAAATGTAACTTCAGATTAACTCCTCCCAATAGCACGTCATACACAATTTTTAACTGTTTTTGTCGTAAATAAATAAATTAATTGAAAAAGTAAAATAAACTGATGCCAGTGCGGTGCCGCTATCCAAAAGGTCCTACATTCGAGTCCCGACGGAGTTTAGAGCTTGTCCCGGCTGAGGCGGTGCCCCAGCTGGTAGGAGATATTGTACGCGCACATTTTCTTGAGCCCCGGAATTCCTCCCCCCCTCCTTGGCCAACATTAGTTGAATTAAAAATAAATTAAAGCAACCAGAACTATGTGAAATTTGATAGCCAAAAGCGTTTGCGTCCGTGTAATAGAAACTATTTTGAATCGAAAAACGAACTAAATTTTCATTTAATATTCCTTTTGTCAAAATAACCAAACTCCCCACTCATCTCGCAACTCGCGAAGAGAGGGCTCAAGAAAACGAGGGCGGGTAATACCTGGTTGAGGGAAACCCCGTATGTCGGCGCCGGATCTCACCATCCAGCGAGGGAAGATCACCGCCACCTCCAGACGAAAACGCATATACTACACTTAAGGGACTAACGACCTTAGCCGTTGACGAGCCCGATATCACTAATCAACCGATCAAACCTACGAATCAACAATCCTGATATTCACACGTTACATCATTTTTGATTTATTTTTAAAAAAAGAACACCATGAAAAGAAATACTACTGACAATCTCTCGTAAGTAACAAATTATGTTGCTCGAATAAGAAACAAAGCTAAAATGCATCATTTAAATGTCGTCCTTGTCATAACTAGTGCTAAGCAGTAAATACTTTCTCGCCTCAGTAACAGTTACGTAAAATTATAATAACGCAATTTCTGTGCCCACACTGGCTTCTCATGGTTCACAATTATATAAAAAGCATAGCACGGGATCATGAATCGCTCTTGAATACAGCTCGCCACCTTGTAGCACAGAAGCCAGAAACACGTGCATCGTCACCAGTACGCATCTCACATTCAAGACTCGATTTTAAAACAAACATTATACTTATCTCATAAAAACTAAATTCAATGTAATGTTTATTAAAAAATAATTTTTCTAGAAGCGGTCTTATCTCTGCACTTCCTAATTTCAATTATTTCTCGTGTCGCACTATGTTTCCATCGGGCGAGGACATCCCAAAAAGATGAGTCGAAGCCATTTACAAGTTTGCCAACTGCAAACGAACGAATGGAGGAAGGGGAGTCTAATAGGTACAAGGACCCAACTACCACAGAACCTTCAGTTGTGTGACCAACATTTGCTGTCAAAATGTCCCATTCTTATAAAATTCGCTTTATAACCGCCGCGGCGAAATACAATCTCAAAGCCTCGTTAAACTACCCAATTTTCTCTCCCTGAGTATTCAGCTGACGATTAGCTGACTGTTCAAATATTTCTAAGTACTCGGTGTGACCTGAGAAAATGCTTCAGATTTCAAGCTTCATGCTTGCCAACTTTCCATTCATTTCCTTATCGCGAGAGTTGAATGACGACTCTATCCTGCCCGTTCTGATGGCTAACGTGTTCTCGCTAAAGGTCAGGATTTGCTTCTCAAATCCCTAAACAAGACATTTTGATTTTTTTCTCCATGATCAATAATTTTAGTGGCCAAAACTATTTTGTCAATGTTTTCTTAAATTTTGCCTAAACCCTTACTAATATCTCCGACATGTCTGCATTACTTTCCGTTAATTTGGCGTTTAATTCAATTCCGTTTTCCTCCGAGATCTCCAGTAATTCTGCTGGGTTCTTCTGATATTTCGCACTGGTAGCCGCTCCTTCCTTCCTGCGTTTCTATAAATTATCTTTAATTTTTTTTAGTTGATTCATGAAGGCAGCATAAACTCTGACATTTTCACGGCCGGATTTTTGCTTCATTTCCGATTCCGCCTTCCTTTTAGACACACATTGACCATGACACATCACAAAACAGAACACCAAACCCAGATTCTACCCTCCAAAAGGCATAGTCAAATTTCGGCAATTTCAGAATAAAGAAACAGTTTCTTCCAAGCAAGACGCCCGCTTACCTGGTTTTGCTCTAACCTTAAAGCACTACGCTCTGAGGAAGGCCACAATATGTAGGCCGAAACGACAGCCACCACGACAGCCCCGCGGCTCGTCCCGGAAGGCGCAGATAATACAAGGAAACACAGTTTCGCTCGGTGATAACCCATACTTTCTCATTCCTCATGGCAATTCAAAGTGGATCCAATGGGATTCGTTTTATAAAACCAATCATCTTATTTTTACCCCACGCTATTGGACAACGGTTCAACGCTACCGCGCAAGTTAGAAGATCCAACTAATGGTTGTTTGCTATTGTCCTCCAGAGAAGAAAACGCTCGCTCCTTGTTCTAACCTTAAAGCTATGGAGTTGCCAGGGAATAAAGAACGTTAGAGGTTTCATTAAATCATAAGAACAAAAGAGAAATTAATTTTAATAAAAAAAATTTTAGAGAAGAGAAGAAATTTTAAAATAATTAACTAATCTGAAAAGAACGAATTACATGGAAAGGATGTATCTCGTCCGTACATCATTACAGTTCACTCGCGGAAATTGGGTCGTCGGCAGACGAAATCCAGTTTATTTCGTGGTCACGACTTGCCTTGCCCATGAAGCGGCCAGGTGACTGACTCCCTGAATTACTCGTCTCGCTCACCTTAAAATATATTCGCGCAAAACCTAGCCGTGTGTACCGACGAAACGCTGCTTGTCATGAGAAGAAGGTGGCCGATGTGCTGACAATCACGGACGATAGAGCACACGGCGGCGTGCTGGCTAGCGTTGTGGAAAATGTTCGGGACGCGATGCGCTGAAACAGCGTAGGCGGGGTGAGGGTCTCCTGAAAAGCGACCGCGCGCCGAAGGAGCCGAAATCAAGTTAGGCCGGTCTACGTGGCGGGTTTGCTTCCAGCCCACCTGCTTCCCACGTTTCGCCGATCTCCTCGCAACGATTCGTGAATTTTGAATCCGGTGTGGGGAGTCACTTGAAACTCCTCCACTGGCAAGTGTTATTCACCGCCAGCGCCCGGTGGTTAAAAGTTCATTCCCGGGCTTCTGAGATTTTTTTTTCTTTTCTTTCTGCTTCGACGCTCTCGCAGGCGAAGTGGCGCTCCCTTCTCTAAGCCTGACGGGGGCTGGGGCAGGACCGTACCCTCCCCAAGCCTCGCTGGCAGTGGCAAAGATAGTGGGTAGGCAAGGAGGGGCTGACGCGGCGCCGGGACTCGAAATAATAAACCAAACTGAAGAAATTCCACCCGTCGGGACATACACAGCGCTCTTTCGCCACAATGCTCTTGCAACAATGTAGCAAAAAATGTCACCCCACGTCACAGCACTAATAACAAGGGCGCGCGCGTACGTACACACACACACACACGCACACGCACACGCACACGCACACGCACACGCGCACGCACACGCACACACGCACAGTTGTTAGACCCAAAGACTTGACACACGTTTCTTTATATATGTCAACGCGCTGATTCTGAATGTGCAGCAAAACTTGCGCCATCACCCTCCAGTTTTTTGTGTTGTTTTTTAATTGATAAAAAGCACTGTTATATTGTAAACGTCACTGTCTGTGTGTGTGTGGGTTTCGATTAAAAAAAAAAACAAAAAAAATGAGTGTGATGACGCAATTCTGGCTTCAGATTCAAATTCCGTGCGTCGACATACATAGGGAAATGTGTGTCAAGTCTTTAGGTCTGACAACTTATTTCATTTTCTATGCCTGTGTAATTTTTAATGCTATGTGTTAATGATTTCAGAATTCGATTCAAGAATTATTGAGTACTGTAGAAACGGGTGCAGACCAGCTTATTTTAATTGATTTTTTTATCTTATTTTCTAAATATCAGAAGGCTGTTTAAAGAACAACTTGACATATGTATGATTAATGCTATTGGTTTAATTGCTACCATGCATTTTCTTAACATCATTGCAGTGTCTGGTTTGACAATAGTGTGTATGTGACTATAAGTTCATGAAAAAAATGTGTGTGACAGTCAGTTATGTATTCCTGTGACATAGTGTCAAAAGCTTTTGTGAGATCATAAAACATTGTATTAATATTCACTTTATTTTCACTTTGCAGTGAATCAGATTGGTGGAAAGTGAGAAATCTACGAACAGGAGAAGAAGGTCTTATTCCTTGGAACTTTGTCGCAGAAGAGAAATCTGTTGAGAGTGAAGAGTAAGTGTCCAATCCCATGATTGTTGGTTTCATTCCAAAATTCACTACAAGAAAAGAACTTCTTTTAAATGAGCATGCAATTTCTTTTTCTAGCTGGTTTTTTGGGAAAGCATCACGCAAGGAAGCAGAGAAGCTTCTATTATTGGATGAGAATCCTCGAGGAACGTTCTTAGTGCGTTACAGTGAACATAATCCAAATGGATTTTCCCTTAGTGTAAAAGACTGGGAAGAATCACGAGGTTATCATGTGAAGCATTATAAGATAAAACCTCTGGATAATGGAGGATACTACATTGCAACCAATCAAACTTTTACAACTATACAAGCACTTGTTGCAGCATATAGCCGTACGTCAAAATTGGTTTTTTAGATTTCGTTCTTTTGAATATATTATTTTGCAGTTCTCACCCTTGATGTTTATCATCTTCATTAGAGTTTTTAGAAGTACAACATTATAATTATTTGAATTATGAAAATAAAAAATTATGGTCTTCTGCATGTTTTATGCAAAATATAAGCAGAATTTGTGATTAAAATTACTGAGAGACAAAAACAGTACCCGAGTGAAAATATTTATCAAATTTTATATTTGTGAAGTATTTTTTTCTTTGATAACTGATTTCATGCAAAATGAGAGATTGCAAGTATGGGAATATAAATTAAATAGTATTAGTTCAGAATAATTTTTAATAGTTCTATACTCTGAAACTTGGGTTTTTAATGATATTAAGTACATATGTAACAGAAATGCAATTTTCTTCTTGCCACAGGAAATGCTCTTGGACTCTGTCATGTGCTTGCTCGTCCATGTCCAAAACCAAAACCTCAGTTATGGGATCTTTCCCCTGATATGCGAGATCAATGGGAAATTAATCGTAAGGAAGTGCAACTCATCAGGAAATTAGGACAAGGCAATTTTGGCGAAGTGTGGTATGGTAAGTGATGATGTTCATGGCAAGGAAGTTACTGAAACATCTTTAAATAAATTTGTATTCAAATAGAATATATCTTTGAGCATTTTGTTTGCTGCTTCTAATTCGTACCTTTCTTCACACTGTTCAGGTAAGTGGAGACATTCAACGGAAGTAGCTGTGAAGACGCTTCGACCAGGTTCTATGTCAACACTGGCATTCCTTCAAGAAGCTGCCATTATGAAGACCTTCAGACATGATCGCCTTGTTGCTCTTTATGCTGTGTGCTCCAAAGAAGAGCCTATCTATATTGTGCAAGAGTTCATGTGCAATGGAAGTTTATTAGATTTCCTTCGAAATGGAGCTGGCAAAATTCTGCAATTCAGTGATCTTATTTATATTGCGGCACAGGTATTTACTCTTCATTTACTTGCCTTATTGGTAAATTAACTACCCAGTTGATCATTGAAAATCATATCAATCAGTTAAAAAATAAGTTAATTTCAAATTTCTTAATAAATCATTCGTGTAATTCTGAGCCTGAATTCAAAGGTTTCAAATAAAATGAGTCTGAAATGCGATATCATCTATTTCTAAATAAATAATTTGAATATACTATGCAAAGAGAAGATTGAAACAGTGTTTTCATTCATGTTGTTTTATCATTATAAAATCACTGACTAGATGATACTGTGTTTTAACTTCAATGGAAAGGGCGCTAAAAAGAATGTTGAAGCTGAAGAATGATAACATATAGATACCATTAAACACACAAAAAATTAATCAAAATTTTTCATTTTGACAATTTTTAAGTAACAAATTATTTTTATTTTGATTATTAGTTAAATATGGCAGTAGGTTGAAAGACACTGCCTAGTACTAGTTTTTAACCCTCAGTCAAGCATAATATTATATGTTACACTATTGGACGCAATTCATTGACAGATTTAGGGTACAAACAAAAGCAGGATTATTTTAGAAGTAAAACAGTTCCATTGCATTACTTCATTTAATCTGAAGCACCTAGTAAACAAATCATTATTTATATTGTACTAGAGGTGGTATAACAGTGCATACTTTCTTTCTCATTATTGCAATTTCTACACAACTAACAACTGTGAGAGGTGGCTCAGGGCATCACATGATGTCACTGAAGTGCCTCTGACCAGGAGGTCCTAGGTTTGAGTTCCAACGGTAGATGGATTTCTGACATTAGCTTGATAGCTAGGTAGATTTCAGTGCCTGTCTAAGGGGAGAATTCCGGTGGCCAGCTGCTCCGATCGGTAGTTTTCCATGATTTCTCCAATCTTCACCATGTCAATGCTGGAACAGTAGGAGCAGTACTCCAACAAACAGACTACTGACCGTGTAGTATCTTTCCTTCCCATTCCTTGTCCTATCCTCACCCTTTACTTACGTACTTACACACACTACACTACAATACATGCCAGGAACTAAGAGCTTGTTCTGGGTGAGATGGTGGGAGATATCTGCTTAGGAAAACCGATATTTTTTTTTTCCGTTTTCGAAAATACAAAGAGTTTGATGAAAATGGGACCAGCAAGTGTGTACATGCAAATTTTCTTTTAAAAATTTGGAGCTCTTTTTGGAAAAATGTCATTTGAGCATTTCTGGATATAACTTTGGGCTTTAAAAAAAAAAATAATAGAAATTATTTGAAGTACTTCCACTCAAAATTGCAACAATGTATAAAAGACAGTCATAATGTTAATTTCAACAATATGAAATGTATTTAAAAAAATACTTTTGTATAATTTTGAAAATCAAAAGAATAAATCAAAATGGCTGTAATATCATGTGATTCGGTGCACACTATGCTATCTGTACAAAATGATTAAAAATTTAGAAAATTTGGTTTTTATATTTTTAATATTGGCCATATTTTACTCACTATTACTGAAAATGACTAAAAGTTTCAAATAATGTACATGAATTAATGACGGAACAAATTGTGGAGAGCAGAAGTAATTTGAAAAATAATTACTACATTATCATAGTTGAAGAAACACATCAGGATATTCAACCTTTAGTAATTTTCAAAATTCAGAATTAACTGTGAAAGTTGAAACTATGGTATCTTTATAAGAGTACTTTATTCTATTCAAACAAGAAATTTGGAGCAATTTTTGAGAAAATTTTTAAAATGTTCCATGGGCGTCATATGCCCCTAAAATTTAAAGAACTCTTTTAAAAATCATTGAGCTTTAGGAGCTTTGAGTCAGACAAGATGAATTTGGGAATGTGCATTTGGAAAAAAATCCTACAAATAATGTAGGTTTTTCTGACATCAGTTTTGGAAAAGAACACTTTCTGTGTCAGGGGACCCAAAAACGTGTATTCTGGTTAACGTCTCGGAATCAATTTTCTTCCGTTTTATATAGCTTTCTCTATTCAATGTCAATTACTCCATTTATGAATACGATGTACTCTGTATATATACGAAATAGTATTAAAAAGTGGACTAATTACAGGAATGCTCCTTTGGATGCAATGCAATCCTGATCTGGTAATTATTTTGAATATATTGAGTAATATTACTCCCAAAAATGGCTTGAGGGGGGTGGGTCATGACCTGCTCGCATCCTTTCTCTTCCCATTCCCCCACAGTGAACCCCCTCTTGTAATCGTGTACTGTCACTGAGAACACTACCACACTGTCGGGGGACCAATGTTAGTTTGTCCTGGCCAGAGTATTGCCCTGCTGTGGGAGATACTTGGAGGAGGTATTTCCACAAAAGACTTTGTGTAGGTCTGCGCTGGATCTCATCATCCAAAAGGGTGGAATACTGCGCCTTCGAAACATAAAAACATTCACTATGCTAGTGGGGTTAGTGACCATAGCATTATATGTGCTCAGAAACAATCTAAGAAATGGTAACAATGGAAATGGAAATGGTTTGAACTTTGTTTGACAGCTGACATGAACTCGACTAAGGGTTAAAGGGTCAAAAATTTGTTGAAATTCATATTTTATAAAATGAGTTGGCAAATTTTAATTTCTCTAAAATTTCTTGAAAGGCTTGAATTAGAGACATGATTGAATATTGCATTGTTATTGATTGTAGCACTAATCAGTTGTGTACGTTTCCTTGTGCTGAGTAGTAAATTTCTTTTTATGTTAGAGGAAAAAGTAACCATACACGGGCAGTAATTCAAACTTTACAGATAGCAAAGTGCTGCTGTTGTTTTCATTGAATGTGGTGATTGTAATTGTTTTAGTAGATTTGTCATGAAAAGACTTTGATATGTATCTGTCTGTTTGATGAAATAAAATCTTTTCATTTCATTTTTGGAAGAATTTAGCAAGTTACATTCTTTTTGCCTTGAATCTTTTGCTGAGAAGTAAAAAAATTCAGGGTTTGTTATAAATTATATTTTTGTTGTATCCTTGTCAAAATATGAACTCTGATAAAAATGTTTTATGCTCTTTATAGGTAGCTAGTGGTATGGAATATTTAGAAAGAAAACAGTTGATACATAGAGACCTTGCAGCAAGAAATGTTCTAATAGGAGAAAACAACATTGCAAAGATTTGTGACTTTGGGTTGGCAAGAGTGATAGAAGATGATGAATATTGTCCGAAACAAGGTAATCTTTGAAAAACAAATTATTTGGGTTAAAGCTGTCATGCTTGTTACTAAAAGGAATATTGTATTTTAGGGTCTCGTTTTCCTGTAAAGTGGACTGCCCCAGAAGCGATTATCTATGGACGCTTTTCTATTAAGTCAGATGTGTGGTCATACGGAATATTGTTAATGGAACTGTTTACTTATGGTCAAGTTCCATATCCAGGTAAGCTCTAACTTTTCATCTCCTTCTGCAAAAAGTCCTTTTGTTGACAATTTGAAGCTGCTATCTAGGTGCATCTTTTTTGTAGGTATGCATGGGCGTGAGGTCATCGAGCAAGTGGAGAAGGGTTACCGCATGCCTAAACCTCCAAATCATCACATCCCCGATGTCATTTATGGGTTAATGCTGCAGTGCTGGGATGCTGACCCTGACAAGCGTCCAACATTTGAGTACCTGAATCATTACTTTGAAGACTTCCCAGTAACATCTGAAGTACCATATAGGGAAGTGTAGATCTACATTCAGGTGCAATCTTTTTTTACTGTACTATATCAGAAAATACTGTCCTGTGAATCTTAAAGTGATCAAAAAAATTTTCATTTTGTGTAATGGCAAAGCTTTGATGTCATGTGTGAGCTCAACATCATGTTTCATCTATTGCATGACTTTTTAAGCTGTTTGTGGAATGTGTATGAATTATTTATCTGCAGATGCATTAATGTGATTTGTGTACAATCCAGACTGAGTGTGATGAACATTTTGAACTTAGTGACTGATAAGGGATTATTCAAATTGCATTAGTGTTACATTGTGTACATATATAACATTGCAGATCGTGACATTATGTAAATTAGTTGATCTTAATAATATTATTGTACTTGTCTGTTTGACAAGCTGATACTTTCCTTGTTGTACTTATTCATGTATTCAAGCATAATCTCATAAGTTAAATTAAGACTTGCCATTTTGTGATTTTGAGACTGAGGGAAAACAATAAAAGCTGATACATTCTTCATCAGAATATAGATGTGGACCAGGGGATCGTGTTGTGTTCTGGCATATCTAAGGGAACAGTTCTATGGGGGAACTGGGACCAAAAAAAAATTCATTCTGACAATTTTTTATAGACCACAAAACAATGCCAAGCTCTCTTTTGTTTTATTTATTTTTGTTTATATTCTATTGGATAAACAATCTTGTGGAATGATTCAAAACAGGTTGTTCTATTTTTTTTATAATATATATATATTGCAAATACTAGAATCATCTCACCATTATTCCTGGACAAATATATACTAATTATTAGTCTTTTATGTTTAAGTTTTGCCTGCTTTTTTTCAATTGTTTTGTGTTGGTGCTGTACTGTTAGTGATTTGCAGTAATAATGGAGAAGAAAGATGTGTATTGTAGATGTAGTGTGTAATCTAGAGCAAGATAGGTTCCTTTTCTGATTCGTACACAAATATGCCCTTCTGACAAAATTCATTATGTCTAACTAATTGCTTGAGGTTCCACAAAGATTGTGATATTAAAATTAACATTTAAATATATAACTCATAACTGTCAGGGTTACTCGAGTACCTGGATATTAGATACAGTGAACTGCAGTGAATATTCTTATGTAATCATCTGTAATTACCAAATGTTCATATTTATATTTTGTGAGTTTTGTCAGAATGGTAAGAAGTTGTGAATGACAATACAGACTTTTCATTCTATGAAAGTTCTGTCACACATGTGTCTTTGCATGTTTGCTATTGGAGAAGGAACTCCCACTTGTTTTCACCCATGAATGATAAATTATCACTTAGACCAGGGTTGTCCAGCTGGTGGCCCATTGGCCGCATGTGGCCCATGATGCCATTTATTGTGGCCCACGAAAGGTTATTAGTCAAAAGTGAATGTCCTTTTCATCCACGTCTGGGAGAATATTGTGCACCCATGCTGTTCTGGGGCCAACACTCCCTTAATGTGATAGTAGGTTCAGTTAAGATTTGCGTTATGCATGATATGGCTTTATATCATGCGTTCTTCTACTCCTCCTCCTCCCTCCAGTTTCAGAGCAGCTGGGCAAAGTGCAGAGCACAACAAAATGGGGACATAAGGTGTGGATCTCCCAAGTAATAACAACACAGCCCGTAATCATATTAAGGTTTTAGTTGTGGCCTTTGAGGCCTGGCATGTTGGACACCCCTGACTTAGACCACTTCTCTATTATTTCAGTGTTTTCTTTTTATTATTGTTTTTGACACTTGTTAATGCATTTCTTGGATATGACATAAGCTACAACAATTTAATTCACAAGTTGTTTTCATCCACTTGAGTTCTTAATCTACATTTGGAAATTTCTCTTTCTGTCAGAAGTGTTATCATTAATGGATGAAGCATTTGAGCACAGTCTATGATGCGTGCATAATAAAACTCGCACAATAGAAAGTATATGTACAATCAACTGAAACTCAGTTTATCTGTGGAAAGTATTCTAAATCTCAAATTAATGGGGTTATATATACTTCTACTCACTGCTCCTATGGATTGTCAAAAAATAATTGAATTAATAAACTGAGTTTGGGGCTGGGTGTAAAACATGAGGGTATAGATTACAAATAGTTGGTGTACATAAAAGTATGTATAAGCTTTTCATTATTTTAGTAACTTCTTGAACAATTGCTCAAGAATGTATCTCTTATTTTTAATAACTATTAAAATTACTAAATTATAGAATATTAACATAAATATGAGTAAAAGAAGAGTTTTCAAATATAAGGTGGTTACAGACCGGGTTTTAGGACTTGTTGCCTCATAGTCTGTTGTGTTCTGTAAGTGCACGATCATAATTCATTGCTGTTGATTGAGAAGCACACAACAGACTGGCAACACAGTCCCCAGTTGTACATAATTAAAGTTAGAGAGCAGTAAAATAGTGAAACAGTACATGGTTCCTTTGGATATTGTCTTGATTAACAAAGAATACTACTTTTACATTGATCCATTACTGACATTCAGTGATGAACCATGCAGTATTCTTGTCTATATGTGTCAACTATATTTTGCCTAATAAATTAGTGCATGTGATTATTTAAAATTATGTAACCTCTCAAGAGTAACAAAAGAAATTTGTTTAATTCACATCTAAATCATTAGATACATTTCATTTACCCTTTAAATTATACCACATTACATTCTATCTAAATACTAAAATTCAAGGTATCTAATGAAAATATGTACTAAAACTTTTGTTTCACCCTATTTCAATAAAGTTTGTAGAAAATCATGACAATCATGTAGGTAACAAATAATTGCAAATAGATAATGAATCCTAACATTGAAAATTTTATACTCTTGGGCAGGTGATATAACTTTCAATATTTGCAATGACAATTAGATATACATTTTCAAAATTTTATGTATTGTGGTGTTCTCATTGTCAGTCTTTTTGATTGTGTACTTCTAATTTACATATTAAATTAGAATCTGTATTGTATATATTATTTAAATCTCTTCAGGAAATGTGTAACATACTTTGCCTCAGATGCAATGTTTTTCTTCTCATGTGACAAAATTACAGTTCAAGGTGACAAGATATTTTATAAAAACTTTCAAGTACAATGCCATCTTTTAAAATTTCACTAGTAGGCCATAAACATTTTAGAAATTACCTTTGTCATAAACAAATGAAATTTCACCTTGTAGACGTATTTGAACTGATAGTAGTTTAATCAAAATAACTTCTGTGCCTTTCAATTTCTACTCGGTAGACTGCTCTTGATAATTGGACATTCAAAAATCACAATGAACAAATTGAATGTGAATTGTTGACAAATAATTTAATAAAATGTTGGAAGCCTGATTTAGGGTTCAAATGAGTATTAACAAAACAGATCTCTTAAAATGAGGAAATGATAAGATAAAGAAGTGTTTGCAAATGGCATGAGTTATCTATGGACCAAATGAGCAGAATTATACATTGCACTTCTTGAAATTTAATCTCAGTTTTCTCATGAAGTCACTGCTGTATAAAAGGAAAAACTTGGGTTGGGACTTTCACTGAATGACATGTAGTGAAGAATAATTGCTTCTGTTACATGAATGTTTAGGCTTCGTCACTATGTGCAGACTGGGTTGACTGTGATCTGTAGAATGTAGGATATTGTAAATACATGGAACTTAAATATGTGTGCCATAATTATTCTAAAGCAGTGTAATGTAAGATACTTCAACTGATAAAGAAAAGAATTACGAAATAATTCTTCAAAACAATAATTTATTTCCAAATTGAATCCCAAATTCTTTGAATGAGAAAATGGACCATTTTATTTACATATGCTCCTGAAAAAAAAATATCAGATGAAGGTACAAGCCAAGTTTCAGAAAGTATGTGGGTGCATTTTGTATTGAAATGTTGCCTCATCATCTGCATTCTCCCATTTTTTCATTTTTATTTTGCTGTTGTATCAAATGATTTTCCTTTCTATAAAATAATGTTACAAACATTTAGTATGTATTGCAGTTACACATAATTAGACTACACAATATGAATATGTTAGTGTAAAGTAATGGATTCATTGTTAAGGTGCTAGTTGTGTCCAATATACATGTTGGAGAATGTACATGCTGTATTCCAGATTGTAAAACATTTACTTGTACAGAAATTGGGCTGATCTTCAGTGATGTTTCTATGGTTTGAAATTGACAGAGCACTAAATACTCCTTCCCTGCAGTGTGAAATTTGAAGTAATGATTTTAATCAAGAAAGTGAAGCATTGTTAATGAGAAAAATGTAGAATTGTTTTGCATCATTAAGGTTATTTATGGATTTTTTTTGTGTGTACATTCTTTGATAGAAGTTTAGTCCTAAGTGAAATGTAACCCTTTCTGATAATGTGTAAAATTTATTATATTTATGTAATGTTAGTTTCACAATGAAGTGCCAAAATGTTGGTCATCTTTATCTAGCAACATAATGTATTAATTCTGAAATGTGATTTTTCTTGTATGGTACTTGTAGAATTCCTGAAATGCGTGTATGGTGTGTTCTTGTGCACTGACTAGCTGAGATAGGCATGCTACTGGCTAGTGTCCAAGAATAGATTGTTTTTAATGTTTTCTTCCTACTCACACAAACATATTGGTATCAGATTTCAGTATTCAGAATTTTATGCAAGCTGCAGAAATATAGTTAAGTTTGTCAACTTGAATCTCATTATGAATTTATTGCAAAATAGAAGTAATGATATTTTACTACTAATAATATTTTTTATCAATGAGATTTGCTGTTCTCCTGACAGTAATAGACACTAATCACAGAACATGAAAAATCAATAATTATCTTTGTTTAACATTCAGTGAGTGAAGACATTTTCCATTTTAGTTTAAATTGCATTGCCCAGGTATTGCACTAGTGAAAAAACAAATGAATAAGATTGTGCAGAAAAATTAATAGGAGATTGAAATTATTTAAGAAGTGTTCATTGCTTCTATAAATTTAAAAGTAAGCACTGCCTCTGTGTAAAGAATGCATATTCTACAATATGAAAAAGAAAAAAAATCACTACCAACACACTTCAACCTCCCTCTCTAATTAAGGTTTACAAACACATTTGTACATAAACTGTAATACTTGAATATGTTTGTACTACAATTTGTGCTTAAAATGATGTTATACATAAAGTACATTGGTCTCCTTACATAGAATATTATTCTATTCCTATTCTTCCACATTTACTGGATAAAATAACTTCATTTGTGTCAAAAAATTCTCTAACATCGTTTAAAATTAAATTTCTAAATAAGACCTGTCTCTACCAGGATAGATTGAAACAAAACTTGAGTTGGACTTGCTCAATTTTAAAAGATAAAACTTTCCGTGCGTCGAACAAGTATGATGAATGCGGTTCTTTCCTCATTTTTCGCATGAAATTATAAATTCAGTCTACCAGATGTTTTGCCTGAAAACTAGGATGCTGATCAAGCAACTTTACACTTCTTGCTATTATAATTTCATACAGTATCTAATACCTTCTGGCACCCTTAAATAGTATATAATCAATTGCTCAAAATCATTTACTAAAAATATTATGCATTTAGTTTATACAAATGTTCAAACTAAATGTTTTTGGAACAGTTCAAGATTTTGGAGTAGAATTTTTGCCTAACTATTCAGGAAATAGGCTCGTAAGTCATAGAAATAACCGTTTTGACAGTTTTGTATTACATTTTTACACAATGTAAGATAGTAACTACAGGAAACTATTAGTTCTACATAAGCACATACTTTCTTTCCTAGACTCTCTCTTTTCCCTCTCTCTCACCCCACTTATCTTTTCCATTTCTCTTTCCCCCTCTTCCTTTCATTTCTCCCACTCTCTCTTTCTCTCTCCCTCTTTTTCTCTCTCTCATGTGCTGCAGCACAATCTAATGGAATTACAATAATTTCACTATGCCTATGTCCTTCCCACAAGTGCAAGCAATAAGTTGACAATGTTTTATAGCAATTACATGAACGGTACTGCATCGCATCAGCCATGGATCAACAAACATTGTTTTTTTATATATTAAATATGTAATGCAATAAATTAGTCCATCATGACATACGTGCTATTATAATTCCATTCTTAGATGGCAAAATGATGTCTCTTGACATCATCTCCATGACATGAGATCAAAATGATATAAGTCATTCTTGTTTGTTAATGTTTAGAAGTATGCAAAAGGTGCATTTCTCTTATAGTTTATGAAAAAACAATGGTGGCCAGTTGCAATAAGACATAAGCCACAGAATATCTTTTATTGGCATTTTGTTGCTTAAAAGTGCTGTCATGGAAAATTTTTAAAAAGTGACATAACAATTTTTATATTACAGATTTATTTTATAATGCAATGCATTTGTGTGTAAATTGATGACAAATTGGCCCTTTTCAGGAGGACTCTGACGTTTTCTCAAAGAAACAATATACTCAAAATGTTTTCTCAAAATTTCTATGGGGGAAGCTGGCTTTACTTCCTCTTCACAGAAAGAAATACGAATAATTTTTTCGACCTTGAATATGTTACTTCTCTGATGGTATTTGAACTCACCAAATTGTGTATAATTGTCCTATACGCCAATTGTTACTTCATCAAAGCATTTTCCTCTATCCCGCACTCAAGCGCCGTCTGAGATTTCTTTTGAATTCATCTACCCATATCTTATTCATACTTGATAGTGAGTTACAGAGATACGTGGTCGCCGTTTGCTCGATCATGATAACATCTACAACGACAGCTATGGGGATCAGCTTTGGTATTAGCTTTCGTGTTACGAGGACGAGCTCTTTCTCATTAGCTAGGCCAAATCCGTGGTCTTCCATATCAACTAGTCTCGTAATTTGGTTGTTTCCATAGGAGCTCTATCACAGTGCGTGTCTTTATGACAGCTGCAATGTCATCGGCGTAGCCCATCAAGGCTGCATCTTCTGACAAATTCAGCTGGAGTATGCCGTTGATTCATTATTTGTGACATTCCGTAAGTCTGATTTCAGGATCGACCTGTGTGTTACTCCCGCCATGACTCTATTACGAGTGTCTTATAAAGTTTTACCTCTGCCTCAAGTAATCATTAGGATTTTAACCCCCCGATTCAATAGATTGAGTTTATCCGCTGTCTGGTGAATTATTCTAGCGGCCGGCTGTTCTGATCGGTAGTTTTTTTTACGATCAACACCTGTCGAATGCCGGAGCAGTGCACTAAAAATTGACCATGAACCACGCGATCTTTACTTCCACTTGTCCTATCCTCACCCCTTACTTACACATACTTATACTGACATGCACTACCACACATGGCGAGAGATCCGTCGGGAGCTTAGAGCTTGCCCCGCCGGTGGGAGATACTTGGTTGAGGGAAACCCGCAAGCGGAGGCCTGTAGATCGGCGCCGGATCTCGCCATCCAGTGGAGGAAGATCAACGCCACTTCCAGCGATAAAACATGCACAATACTTATGAGCTTACTAGTTGACGCGCCCGAACAGTAATCAATCACGTAATCATTGAGGGTTCGTAAGCCGGTATCTTACTGGTTTTCTTCAGGCGTACTCGCAGAGTTGAAGCGTTCTGCACATATAGTGTGTCTTACAACACTAATTTGCGGCAGTGGTGGTACTCCCGCGCGGATCGCCGCCAGTATACGTGGTTTTTAGCAACTTCTCGAATACAGCTACTTGGCTGCCCGGGAGACGCCGTTATCCCCGGCCTTGAGGAAGGTTCGCAGAAAGACGGCCGAAACATTGGCACCGGTGCCTAGGACGCGGCATTTCCCGGACCATCCCGGACCCCCAAGCAGCTACTGACCAGGCCCATATAACTCCCATATAACGTGGTGGGGACCATTACAGTTGCGCGCTCTAGAGCATCACCTTCTTACACGAAGTAAAATACGAACTGCTACCAACGTTATTTGAAATGCGCGTAGGTTCTCGGGACGCAAACACACGAGCTCGATACAAAAGATTGCGCCGCTGTTCGCGCTACCTTTTCTTTCACGCGTGTATTATTATGATTAAATAAAATTTGGAAGATAAACACATGGTATTTAACTTTTTTTTGTAATTTATTTCAGAAATCGCTCCCCATCAATGTGTATTCGTATTTCTTGACCAATTTTTGTGCGCGAAAGTTGGTGAGTCTTACCAGCAGCTGTATCCGGTGACACTAGCGCATCCTATAGCAGCAACCTCTAGCTTTGTCCCCAATTTTGATGGAGAGTTGCCGGGCCCTGCTACTGACTTCGGCCGTAGAAGCCACTCTCCCAACTTCTCGATTAGTTTCCCGGTCATGTCAAAGGGGGGATGTGTGGGACGACGGTAGATTGGTGGAGTGTAGCTTCTGTTGACATTCCAACCGTTTTCTCACTTACGTTTTCTGCTGCCTCGGGCGTTTTATCGCCTGCAGCCAGAATGTGATGTACTGGTGATCGTTTCCTGTGTAGTTTTCGATCACCCGCCAGTCCGTAACTGGCTGTAAGAACTTCAGATGTCAGCGTAATATTATACACGCACGTTTTCTTGAGCCCCGGAATATCAATCCCCACTCCTTTGACATTTGATGATTAAAGAATAAATAATAACAACGAGCGTTGTAGAAAAAATCTGATAACTAGAAATGTTCTCTCCCATGTATTAGAAACTATTTTGCTTCGAAAAGACGAATCACTTTGATATTAAATTCCTTTTGTGAAAATAACGAAACTCCCCTCGCAGCTAGCGAAGCGAGGGCTCAAAATGTACGCGGATAATATCTGGAATTGTTTCTGCATATACGGGCCGTGTCAATATGGATGATGACCCATCGTTTAGGACTACCTGGTCTTTTCTGGCTGCCATTTTCAGTAAATACCTCCCACTGGGGGTTAGTTGTCGAGTGACGCGCTATTCTTTCTATAATTTTAACCTTGGTTGCTTTTTTTAATTCATTCACAAAGAGTTGTAGACAATCGCGTTTTGATTTTTGTTGTTCATTTATTTCAATCAATTTTACTGTTAATTTTTTTTTGTTGTTGTTGTACCATCGCACAAGTTTTCCTCTACTTTCTACGTATACCCGTGCGAGAACTCTCGCATGTTAAACCCCATATCTATCGTATTTCCATTCTAAGAAGAAAAGTTGTAAACGAAATGTATTATTTGTTCAAAAAGTATAAAGGTAACTTCCAATGAACTAACACAATATCAAATAAAAATAAAAAAACAATGCAATTGATGTGGAAAATAATTTTTCAATAAAGATTTATTCAGTATTATCGAAAGATTTCTTGGAACAATTCCCAACACTTAAAAACATTTGAAGTACTTAATATTCTCTGAAAGCTTTTCGTAGTGGTCACAAAAATATTTTTTTTAAATTTTACTATTGAGAAAGGTACGTGACTGAACACGCTGACTTGATAGTTTCGCCGAATCACTGCTGATAACGGAAATACTGATGCAGGTAAAACACAAACCAAACCAAACCTAACAAGACACGACTTCACTCTTCACTGTACAACCACATCCCCCCACAATTAGGTACACAACATTTGTATACTTCGGCAAAACGTTTAATGAAATCTTTTCACTTCACGCATAAGAAACTATTTATATTAATATACTGCTCTGGTCAACGTGTTTTATTATCGCGATGTCTCTCTCTCTCTCTCTCTCTCTCTCTCTCTCTCTCTATATATATATATATATATATATATATATATATATATATATATATATATATATATATACATACATACATACATACATACATACATACACACAAATACTTTTAGAGAGAAGTATTTCTCGTAAAGAACTTTTTTCATCAGACGAACGATGTACGTGCTAGAAATCGTTCGTCTAATAAAAATGATCTCCAAATGTCCGTATTTTTCGAGATATAAAAAAACAAACATTGTTTAGCTGATTGAGTTTTTTCCACAATTTATCGTACTCTAGCGCCTATACCCTTCGTCTGACGGTGACAGAGAGTACTTATGAGACATAAATCGTACAAAATTTAATGTTATATATTTATGTGAATACGCATATTTCTATGCAAGTATTTTTAAATTATAAGCGAAAATTGGAAAACGAATGTTTGCAGTTTTCTGACAACGCACAACCAGCGTGAGGTGGCAAATGTTGAAATCCAGATTCTGATTTCAGAAAAACATAAAGAATGACTGAGAAAAAAAGTTCTGTATTTTTTCCTGTTGAACTACTTCTTAACTGGAGTAAGAGTTTATCAGTGTATTTTGAAGTACAATCTGTGTCTGATGGTGCCCCAAAAGACTGGACCATCGAATGACTGAAATGTAATTTTCGAAATTCAAAAATACGAAAATATAATAAAAATGTAAGCAATTCAAATGAGTTTAAACTAAGTTATATAAAAGTTTATATTGAATATTTATTCACATAATTTTATGTGTTGTCGCCTAGTCAAGTATATTTTACACCTCCCGCGCACGTGGTTCTGGCTTCGATTTCCGCCGGACACTTGAAGTTCGACTCCAGTACATCGCAACAAGCACTATTGCTACAAATTCCAGGCGCCGTGACATCAGCCAGATCGATCGGGGAATATCAATTTTGGAGAAACTTGGCTGAACGGAATAGCCACTAGCGTTGTTCGCCGACTTAGAGGCGTTTTTACGTCATTCGATATTTCGGTTTCAAGGACCCACAAAACATAGATTGTGGCTACACCACGTGTCAGAGCATTTTGTTAAATTTGGCAACTAGGTTTTCCCATTTTTTGGTTACCAGGGCCCTGTAATAAGAATTTTTCTGCCTAAAATTCGCTGCTTTTTTTCCCCTTTTCTTTTTTTCGCACAGCGTTACATAACTTCCTCTTTACTCCGTAAAAATATTTTCAGATAATAATTAAAACGAATAAAATGGTATCGCAGTACGAGCTGAGTTTAGCCTGCGTCATCCTACATAATCTCTAATATAACACGACAAAAACATGCTGAACAAAAAACTATCTTAATGTACATATCAGACTCGACTCACAGGCGGGCATAGTATCCCTAGAACAGGGAAATATAATAACAAAGGGGCGGATATTGATGACCTAAAATATCGCCAAAAATGATAATAAAATAATCTTTAAGTGTTGTTAAAATGTTCTAAAAGCAAAGACATATAACGTTTTTTTTATCAAAACAAATCAGATGCGTAACTCAAGCAGATGGATATGCTACTGATGAAATCGCAGTGTCAGATCGAGGGGAGGCATACCCTTACCCCTCCAAAAAAAGAGGCCCAAAGAAAAAAATTGTAAAAGTGCAGAAAAAATGAAAATGAGGAACATAAGGAAAACTTGTAGACACGTTTGAAATATATCGAAAAAATTACCGCGCGTTCTGTCCTTGGCCTTTTAGTTACTAATGGGAATTCTAAATCTCGCTGTATTTTAGCTCAATGATATGTATGGAAAATGTCTTCGACTGTTATCCTGAAGCGTGTGATAGCTCATATCTTTTTCCTATTCCCTTTGACAAGCGGTGTTTCAGGGACATATTGGAGTATGGGCAAATCAACCGAAAAGGGTTGATGGAGTAGTACAGAAGTACTTAAAGGGCATGGATCTCATACATGTTACTGGAGACGGTGTGGTACGGTTAATAAGAAGAAGCACAAGAGACTTGAGGCATATTTTGTGAAATCCTGTCGACTTTCCTCAGTCCTGAACAGTAATGTTTGTGAGCTAATGTTTAATGTATAAATCGATGTGATGCGTTTTATGTAAAAAATATATTTATATCTGTATCATAGAATGAAAACTAGAATACACTAATCATTCGTCGTTTTGCAGCTGTGAATTCAACAATTTTAGTAACAAATTCTATTTTTAATTTAAAATCGTAAAATACTAATTAAATATGAAATTTAATATTTTAATTTTGTTAAAATATAATATATAATTATGTTAAAATAATTTCTAGGCCAATGACCCCATCTCGATCAGGTTTTGTTCAGTTTCCCTGGCCCCTTGTTTGCTCCTGAACAGAAATGTAACTTCGCTCTCTCTACCCAAGACATCATATTGACTCGTCATACACGATTGTAATTGTATATGTGACTCAATAAATATTATTATTATTATTATTATTATTATTATTATTATTATTATTAAAAAACAACATAAAACCGCAAAAGAGACAACAATTCCTTCTGAAACGTGAAGTGTCGTGGCGACCTTAGGCGAAATTCCGGATAATATTAAACGTTCTTCCCCATTTTGATTTATTTAAGATTTCGTGTTCTGTGCAATTGAATTACGACGTTAATTTCTCGTTCACTTTCAAAAGCTAGTTAAGTTCTAATAGTTCGAAGACGATGTCAGCTAACTCACCACGTGGGGCGCTAGTGATGTCACGTCTGTCAGCAGAGCCCATTTTCAGCACAGGAAAAAAATTCAGTGCTTCGGGACTGGGTTCACTGTATTAATAAACTGTGATGAATCTCCTACCTTTGGCCAATGCAATTAAGATAAAACATTATTGAAGGTATCCCATGCATTTTTCCACTCTACTTTTCTAATTAAAACGCAATATACTCATTTGAACTGAGAAATCACAGTGTTGCCCTCGCTTGTTCCTCGCCAGTCGTTCTTCGCTGTCGTTCACCGATTTCGCGAGGAAGGAGTCGATTCCTTCACAACGATAAAGGGATAAGACGATAAGACTTCTGCCGGTAAGTTGAAGACAGGTAGAAGCCTCAAAGCCAGGAACAAGAAAATTGTGAAAAATGCCTCTACTAAGATAACGAGATAATACTCTCAATGAAGCTTATCATTGGGGATAATTCGTAGAAAGAACGAGGAAATGACATGGATATTATATAGGATGAAAATATGTGCAGTGGCATTAAGTGTGATTTTGGAGTGACTTCTGGCCTGTACTGGAGAAACTAGGCCTCTGGGCGTGTGTGAGCTCTTTTAAATTCAAAAATAAGAAATGATCTGAAGTCATGTCGACCAAAATTTTAATTGACACCTCGAAAGACAATAATGTCTGCACTTCAAATCAGACAGACAATGCAAATCCAAAAGTAGAAGTTTTGTATTGTGATATTAGTCATTACAGTCAAAATTTTCAGTTCTGTTTATGCTGCTTAGGAGTGTTTTTGTTTTACTTGATATATGGATATTTTCAGGTAGGGATAATATCATTTGTTTGGATTATTTGAAATTTTAGTGTGACATCTACTGTATGTAATTTTTATAGGAATTAATATTCAGCCTTGATGGTTTCAAACCATTTGGATGGTATTTGACATTGGTTCAATTTGCCTACTATACAGTGTTTGGATATGCAGAATCATTGTTTAAAAAAGTGACAAGAAGGTAAGTTATCATTTACTTAACTTTGTTTAATGTTTTGTAATAATAATTATCATCTAAAAAATGTGTATTGATCACCTATATTTTTGAAAGCGGCATCATTACCTGAATGTGTTACTAGTCCCCTGCAGATTTGGGTGGTGATGGAACTGCAATTTTTTTCAAAGCCTCCAACCTTGCTTTCCTATGTAGTTCTAACTGGAGTACCAGTGATGTAGGTTGAGTTGCCTCTTCTGTCTTAATGCTGATGATGTCTTCTCTTTGTTAACCCAGGCATGAGTCTTCTTTTCTTCAATCTCTGAAAAATGTTTGAATGTGTAGGGAAAGTATGAGAAAAAAAGAATTATGTCAGACACAGGTTGCTTCCAAGCTACAGTTTGAGTTCCATCTTTACATTTGATTCATTATTTTGAGTTCTACTATTACAGTTTTGAGCTCCATCAATGTCACTCCCAAAATATAACACATAGCATATGTAAAGTAATATTAATGCGATACGATCTCCAAGATTCTTGTTTTATCTTAAAATGATTTTTATAAGCTTTTATGCAATGTTAATCACCCTCAAGTGCTCCATGAGCTTTGTATAATTAATAACAAATTATAAATATAATAAAGATATAATTTCAATATTAATTGAAGAAATGATGATTGACCTCCAACATGATGGAAGGATCAATAGTTGAAACAGCGGATACTACCTAAAAACGAAGAAGAAAACGTAATAATTGGCCACAATCTTGGAATCAAAGATATTGAAGTTACATCTGCATAACAAATAATACAACACTAGTCCTAGAAATCACATTCATCAGATATCAGTTTCAACAGCTCATAAAAAAATCCACTATGATTCATGTACTTTGCTTTACAACACATTGTGAGATGACATTAAACAATTAAAATTGGTATACAAATTTAAGTTAAAAATATATTTCTTTTCTGCTGCTAACTTTTTCTGTACATTACATATTAGAGACTATACTGACCATCGAAAATAAAAAAAAATATATTTATTTTAACATGATATATAATGCATTTGTATTTTATAATAAAAAATCAGATTTTTGTTCAGTTTCCCTGATCCATTTAGCAAATGCTGAGATGGCCCCTTATTTTGCTTCTAAACATAAATGTAACTTCATTATGTGCACAATTTGTGGAGCTCACCTTTTGGTAATGATAGTAGAAGTACAGCCATGGGTATGTTACCATTTTGTTAGCAATACCAAAAAATTAAAATCTGTTGTATATTTAAAAACTTGCAAAAAAAAAAATTCTATAACTCAGGAGCAAAAATGTCTAGTTTTTAAAAGTTACTAACTTGGCTTTTTTGAAATTCGTCATTCAGTTATTTATAGTTAAAATGTTGGGTCGAGATTCTGGAGGTCAAAAAAATGTATGCATGTGGTACCCCCATATGTCACATAAGATTTTTTACTGTTTTTTGACTAAATAAATAAAATATTAATTTGGTATCCCCAAATTTTTATGCAATTTTCATTTCATCCAATTTCGCTTCTCTCATGACATGTTCTGTGTATAAATTGAATAGTCCCTGGAGAGATCCATTCTAAGTATTGGCATTAGAAAGAATCTCTCCAGGGTCAACCAATTTTTTGAAGAAATTTAATCATACTGACATTCAATCTGATACATGCCAGTAATTCATGGTCTGATCTACAGTTTCCTTCAGATATTCTGGTGACATTCTATTCTGAAGACTTTCATCTGCAATTTTCCAAGATATGTGGTTTCTGTCTGTCATCTGGGGATGTCCATGTGTACAAATATTTTTCTTGTTTCATGAACTTCATATTTGATGCAAGCAAGTCGTTTACAGCACAGATTTCATTTCATCTACATCCCCTGTTGTTTCTGTTATGCAGATCTTATTTCCCAGTTACATATTTCGTTTCCTCTTGTTTCACATTAGCAATCCAGTCATCTAAAGAAGGCACTAGATCTTTACTCACTTTTCTATCTATGGTTCCTATCTGATTGTAAAATTCTTCTATTACATCATGTGTATCAGATGTAGGCGTGTGTATTTGAATAATAGATACATTTATTAGGTATGCTTTAAATCTTAAACTTATTATCCTGACACTGATTGTTTCATATTGAAGGAATGCTTTACCGATGCTTTAGTTTATTACAATTTCTTCTCTATTTCTTCGCCTCTCCTTCTTTCCTGAGTAGAAAACCATTTCATCTTCTGTTGCAAAGTACCCAATTCTGTTCCATCTTACTTCGCTAAGACCTAATAAGTGCACTTACTGCACTTATACTCACTTGTATTTTTCCAGTAAATGGTCTTCTCATATTCCATGGGGCAAATTTATAAGGTTTAGTTGTATTTAGAAACTTCTCTAATTACTTCTCTAATTACTTCTCTGTAGTTATAACTCTTTCAATAGCAGTATCTTAATTTTTATTGCAGTTTTACTCAATATTCTTTGTAAGGACTAGGAAGGGAGTTTTGGAAAGTTTTCAGGGTTCCATGTACAAAATTTCATTAAGATGAGAATTAAAGTGAAGATTTGTATAAAAGAACAAACATACATTCTTTTTTATGTGATAGAAACCTTAATTAGGCTTTCTGTGGATATGTACTTTTATACGTCACAGAAATGGGGTCTTTACTGATTTAACAATTTCATTTTGGAAGAAGATTCCATTCTTTTTGGCCTTTAGTTCTCTTTCTTGGACTCAATATGCCAGACCTTTCTGTAACTCTAGTTGATGCAACTTTTCATCTTAAAGATATTTATTTAATATTTTTTAGAATTTGTCTTTAGAAAGAATTAGTCTTAAATATCTTCTCTTGGCTCTAAATGGATGTCTTTCCAGAAATTCTTTATGGTATATCGGTGATTTGTGTCCTGACAGGTAGTATTTTAGATTCTTAGTTTCACAATTTTTCTGGGATTTAGTACAACTCATCTAGTGAACAAAGAAGTAAAGGTTAGGATGGCAAACACATTTCCTTTAAGTTCTATGTTTAAGCTCCTGTAACAGGATAATTGAAAATTTTATTTGTGAATTTTGGATTGCCATTTTCTATCATATAATTGTCATGGGCTGTGAACATTAGTTTATTATGTATTGTTAGTATTATTAGTGTAATTGACTTGGAATGACTAGTGTGTTAGTAAAATATGCTATGAAATACAAATAAAATTGGTCAAAAAGTTGTGTGATTCATTTTATTACAGGATTCCTCTCAGGACTTATAGCCTCCTTGCTTTGCTAACATTGGGTACCATGGGATTTTCTAACTCATCATTAGGATATCTCAATTACCCTACACAAGTTATTTTCAAATGTTGCAAATTGATTCCTGTTCTTATTGGAGGAATAATTATACAACAGAAACGGTATGGTGTTTTGGATTTCCTTGCAGCAGGTTTAATGTGTGTGGGACTAGCGCTTTTTACCCTTGCAGATAGTCAGATTTCACCAAACTTTTCATACATGGGTAAGTATTTGAGCTATGATTATGCTTTTTGTTATTCTATTTTCTTAAATTTATATAAAAGTTAATGTATTTAATTTCTGATTTGAATTCATTGAAGGGTAGTAGAAAAAGTTATTCTCAATCATGCATAAAGAATACAAACTAAAGTGTGCATTTTATTTACTTCTACTTCTGAATTGGATTTCTCTTAATTCTCTAGTTACTGTTTTGTTTCATGATTGAGTTGTATATTCATGAAGTGAAACCTGATTCATGCCATTGATATTAAAAATAAGTTTATTCTCTAGTATTGTAACTAAATTGATATTTTTTATTGCATTCAAGGTGTTTTCATGATATCATGTGCTCTTCTCTGTGATGCTGCAATTGGAAATTTTCAAGAGAAATCAATGAAAAATTACCAGGCAACAAATTGTGAAGTTGTTTTGTATTCTTATTCAATTGGATTTGTATATTTATTTTTTATTATGATATTTAATGGGAATCTCCAGAAGGGAATAACATTTTGTGCAAGGGTGAGCCCTTTTTATTAATATTTTCTCCTTTTGATTTCTTTTTCTTTTCTTTCCCCTTTGTTAATTTTGAATTTTGTTAATTGCACCTGATGTATAAATGAATTTGTATTTTGTTTCCAGCATCCATTTGAAACATATGGATATGCATTTGTCTTTTCACTTTCTGGTTATCTTGGTATTCAGATTGTGCTTACATTAGTGAAAACATGTGGGGCATTTGCTGCTGTAACTGTTACAACATGCCGAAAAGCTGTGACAATTATGCTGTCATTTCTTTTTTTCGCAAAACCTTTTACATTCCAGTAAGTAGATCATTCTCATTTTTGTGGAGATTTTAAAGCAATAGAGCGCAATAAATTAACCGAACATCAGACCCCCTTCCACTCGGACTTACTAACCTAATAAGCAAAAGGGTGTCAAAGAACATAGGGATGGAAATGTATTAAGAAAACAGAGTTATTATAAGATGAATATATGTTTCTTACAGAGGTATCACATAGTTTAATAATGTTTGTGTGAACTCCAGTAACAGGTTACATGAAGTGAAGAGAATTGTTCACTGCTACATGCATTATGTCATTTTAATAAAAATAATACTAAAATATTGCATGCAATGAAAAAATAATTATCAGCATGGTGGGCGGTCTGAAGTGGCCCCCTCCATGACTTCCCATGTTGGTTTTCTGGAATCAAAATATTTTTAGGGAATAATTTGCAGTTTGATCTGTGTGTCTCATTACACAGAGAGGGTACTGCATTCCTATTAGAGGAAGGTTTTGCCTTATCACGTGACCAACGGTAGTCAGTTCCGTTGAGACAATTGCTGATAGTTGCATTAATTGAACCCTAGCATTTTCAGAACTCAAATATGCACATGATACTGTGTGTTTTGCAAGGAGGGGAAAGTTTATGATCAATTTAATGCCACACTGCCTGTATCCAGCAGAGAAACCAGCTACAATGCCCCTTTCGGATTAATTGACATTAATAATTACAATTATATTGAAATTAATATTTATAATTGTTTATAATGTATTATATTGATTTGTTTTATTCTTGTAGGTATCTATGGTCTGGTCTCTTGGTAGTTCTTGGAATATATTTGAATATTTATAGCAAGAAACAAAGTAATATTTCCAGTTTCAACCAACGACTAAATAATATTCTTTTCACTCTTCAAAGATTGTACAGGAATTCACAGAGTCCCAGAAAGTTAAACTTATCACATGTGTGATATTCTGCAGTAATGTTTATAAAAGACAAACAGAAGATCTCGAAGTATAAATGAAGCAACATGATTTTATAAGTCTATTAGTAAAAATTGGTTATTGTAATGGAAACCAATTCAGAATTATTTATTGAAATATATTTATTATTTTAAAATAACAATTCTTATTTTCTGCCCTTATGTTCACTTTAGAATATAAATACAGACAAAATGAAGGCAGGTCTTCAGATTGATCCTGTAATTGTTTTTGTGGTATTTATTTCTGAATTCACCTTGTTCATGGTTGTCTCAAGAGGGACTAACCATGACACTCATGCAATTGTAAAGAGCAAAAAAATATGTTAAACAATAATGGTTATTTCTCAAAATTGTGTATTAGTAAATATATTTAATGATTTTAACAATTAATGTATTTTTACATTTTCATATAAATACATATGTACAATATAATATAGGTTTGTAGAGAAAGATGTAATTCTGTGGAAGGTCACTTCTAAGAATTAAACAAGAAAACGCCATGGCTGATACCAAAAATGTGTTTGTTTACAATACATCTGTGTGTCATCTGTGATCAACATTAGTGCCTAAACTATGCATAGGATATTTTCCGAACTGAATACATTCCTGTTAATGTAGCCTCACTCGAAGCTCTGCCGTTTTGTATAACTTTCTTTAATTTTGGGGGGTATTTTACATGAAGCCCCGGGAGCGTTTTCAAAATGTTCATGGCATATTTCCTTTATTGATTATGCAAGAAATATCAAAAAATTAATATTACAAATTCACTTTGAAAATTGCGAAGTACTTCTTAATACGGTCTTAGTGTCTTCAAGCGATTCTATATAAACTGAAAACAGGTGGTGCTATAGAATGGCACAGACTTTCCAGTATTCGTTTTCTATTTTCTTTGGTCATGGCTAGCTATACGAACTTGCCGAATACTCTTGTCAGCAGCCATCTATCGCCACCCAAAGTAAATTTTTAGGACATTTTCTTATTTTTTTAGTTTTCTAATAATAGAACAGAAGTATTATTTTATGAATATTAAAGAACAGTAAAACATTGTCCTAAATTGCAATATTATTTGAAAAATTTGCAGCCATTTTTGAGAAAATTGTGCATAAGCACAATTGTAATTTTGAAATTCAAAGCTCTTGAAACACAAAATTTTTTCGAAAAAACGTCATTTAAAGTACTATAACTCCTAAATACAATAGTGTTTACAAATTGTTGAAAATGTGCATATTAACAGCATGAGATATCTTTCAAAAAAATTACATTAGTAATTTTTGTAGAAAAACAATAAAGGAAATGAACTTTATAATAAGGAGTGCAATTAACACTGTCTATTCAAAATGTTTGAAGAAAAAAAATTGAGCTGTTTTTGAGAAAATGCTGTTTGACCGTTTCTGAAAATGCGGAATTTTGTGCTAGTTTTCACAGAAGTTTTCGAAAAACTTTGTGGCATTATTTAATACATATATATGTATATATGTATGTATGTATGTATGTATATATATATATGGGTGTATATATATATATATATGTGTGTATATATATATATATATATATATGTGTGTATATATATATATGTGTGTGTATGTATGTATATGTGTATGTATGTATATATATATATATGTATGTATATATATATATATGTATGTATATATATACGTATGTATGTATATATATATATATATATATATATATATGCGAGATAAGTCGAAAAACCTACATTTTTGTAATATTTGAAAAAATAAAGCAATATGGCGTTTATGTCATCTTATAGAGTACATTTAGCACTGTCCCTACTAAAAGTAAAAAGAAAAAAAATTGGAGCCTTTTTGAGAAAATCTTGTCAGTAATTTTTGAAAATTGCACATATTGCGCGAAAACTACTAAAAGTTTCAAAAAAAAATGTACATGACCTTAATGAAGGAACTCGCTATGGACAACAAATTTTATTTGAAGGAAAACATCTGTATGTTCAATGTTGTAGTTGTAGGAAGACGCCCGAAAAATTATGGAATTTAAAAAATATTCAGAGTTAAACCTGAAAATTAGAGCTATGCAACCTTTATATTTTATTCTATTCTTACAAGAATTTTAAAGAAATAATTGGAGCCGGTTTTGAGAAAAATTCGAAAATGTGTGGACGGCTTCATGTAAAGTACATCCCAATTTAAATTTTTTTTTTTTTTTTTTTTTTTTTTTTTTTTTTTTTTTTTTTTTTTTTTTTACAAAAATCTCAAAGCTTCTACTCGATCCAGATGGACAACGGTTTCTTCAATTTGCAAAAAATCCTACGTACGGTATAGTCGCTAGTAGCATTCACGGACAGACGGACGTTTTGAAAAGTACTTTTTCGGTATCATGGGACCCCAAAACTTGTATTTCCGTTGAAATCTCGATATCGATTTTCCGCAGCATTACATAACTTTCCCTAAACTACGTATTTTTACCCAATTTCTCCGTAAAAAATTCTCCTTTCATGCAAATTAATAGACTTTAGGGACTTTTTGTCAACGTTGAGTACGATATATTTTTAAAGAAAATGACAAAATTTATTGAGCTGAGTTCATTTGTACATGGTTTATATTTATAATAATTTCTATTTTTTGTTCGCAAGTTTTACTAAAATTTTAAAAGAAAGTTTAACATTGTTTTATTGTCCGTGTACGTTAAAGTAAAAATGTCGTACAACGTATCAATATTCACTCTCTTTGGTACAAGGAACTCTTCCTCATTTCTTTTAAAATACCTTATGAACAATATGCGCCCGTTCGTTTAAGGACATTTTTACATCCTTTGACAATCTGTAGCGCAACAGTTCAAATGTAAGGACGTAATGACCGACACAGCTTCACCAATAACAATACCCCTGTATCTTATGCGGCCCCCTGGGCAACGTCTGTTGACAAGAGGCTGGCGTCCTAGCAGCGCTGCTATCGCTTTTTCTACCAGCTTAGGCGGCTCACGGCATCAACATGTCACTGCATTGCCTATGATCAGACGGTTCTAGGTTTGAGTCCTGACGCTACCAGCATTTACAATATTAGCTACATACGTGTCTGTGTCGAGTCCAGCCGCTGGAGGAGAATTCTAGCGGCCGGATGCTGTGTTCTGCAGTTTTCCGTGGTTTCTCCGATCAACACCGGGTGAATGCCGGAGCAGTATCCTAACAAACGGGCCACGGTCCGGCGCGATCTTTCCTTCCTCTGCCTTGGCCTATCCTCACCCCTTACAGCTACATGCACTACACCATCTCTCTTGTCGGGAGCTTAGAGCTTGCTCCGGTTGGGGCGGTGTTCCGCTGGAACGAGATACCTGGTTTGAGGAAGAAAAAGAAACAAACCGACATGTAGGTCGGCGCTAGAGCTCTCCATACAGCTGGTGGAGATCATCTCCCGAGAGCCCACTTTGCAAATCACTACATTTACGGGAATAATGAACTTAATAGTTGACGCGCCCGGAAACAAAAACAATCAATGTATAAATAGCTTGAGCGTCAAAATATTATTACAGGTCCGTGGGAAAGCTCTCTCTCTCCGATGTAAGTCCACTCAATAACCTCTGGTATTTAAGCGGGTTGAATTTTTATAAGTTATTGGAAAACAAGGCTCTGAAGTGGTATGCACATGCTAATAGAATGGCAGAGGATAGAAAGCCGAAGCAAATGATCGAAGGCAAGCCAGAGGGACTTCCAGACAACCTGGAAGGTCAAGAGGACCGTGGGGCGCACATACACAGGATATATGCCAAAGAAGCGGGGCTACACTGGGAGAGGTGAAGCGCGAAGCACAAAAATGAGTATGTCAAATGGCCAACCCGACGCTCAGAGGCTTCAGGGGAAATAAACGATTGTAGCGTTGAACCCATACCGAACGGGTGCGTCTGCTACGAATAGGTGTGTTGATTGTGAAACAGAATGCGTGAGTCAATGCTGGAAATCGGAGCTTTATTCTTATCGCAGGCGGGACTGCTGTTGCCATGTACTTTTTTTGTCAGTTCGCGTACACGCGCACTTTCAAGGAGGTGCCGGCCAATTAGGTTAGCAGTCGCGGATGAACACTATACTTTTTTGTTTACATCATATTAATTCCTAGGCTGAACAATTAGTGTCGAAAATCTTGCCACCGTCGGAACTGTAACCGTAGACCCTCTTGGTCAGAGGCACTGCATTGACCGTAGTTGATGCCCTGTACTCGTGTCACTCGGGCACACGCCCGGGAGACCCTAGTTGGGAAGGACAATCGACAGCAGGGGAGGACTGCGGATGTGGCCTCGCTCCCAAACCTACTGCATTCAGAAGGGCTGGGGAGAAATTGAAATTCCCCGATCGGTAGCCCTGATTTCCGTCGAAAGCCTCGTTGTGAGTGCTTTGTGCCGGCACGTGTCAGTGGGGATGTCGTGTTGGCGGCTGTGAGTCGCCCCGGCCTCAGTAGATCTCTTCGCCACCCGACACACAGTTTACGTCTCCTTCTCAGTGAGCGTGGGGGAGCGATCATAGTTTTAAGGCTTCAAGGTAGAATAACTTATCTCTCCGACATCGCTGTGTATAATGTTTACGTATTTCATATTGCGATTAGTACATACATACTCTATATTCTTTGAGAATAGCTAATTTTGCATTATGTGTTTTCAATAATATACGCAAGTACAATGAAACATTAACAATACATATAATTGTTTATTTAAGAGGTCGACTTGTCGTTATCGTCTTGCGTTCTTGATAACTATATAGAGTTTTTGAAACCTTTCAAAGGCCTATACACGTGAAAAATTTGGTAACAAAGAACCATTACCAGTCGCATGTGGTAAGAGTGCTTTATCGGTGCTGATAACGCACGTCTCGTTGTATACTGTAATAACTCCCCTCCGTCCTAGAGGGAATGAGCAATTTTATTTTTATTTTGCCTTGCCTTTCTATTACATCGTTGGATGCGGTAAGGAGGTGGTATTGCATGCATGATTAAGAAGAGAAATATTCTTCCTTTGGTTCAAATAAGCTTTTAATATTAAATGTTCTACGTTACACAACCAATGCGCGGCTTGCCCAGCATAAAAAAACAAACAGACAAACAAACTACTACTAAGAACGTAGCATGTTCAGTGTTGCCAGATGTGTTTAGAGGGATTCCGCCATGTTCGTTTCAGTTTCCGCCGAAAATCCGCTGAACAGGTTTTAAAAATCCCGCCTAAATCCGCTAAACGTAAAATAAATTATTTTTCCATATTTAAATGTTGTATTAATTGCATATTCTATTAAAAATATGATTGCGAAATATAGTGGCTTTATTGAACCTGAAATTTAATTTTTAGATAATATAAAATGCATTACCTGGGTGAAAATAATAACTAACCTGGGGCAAATAATTGCAAAATAATAACAATTGATTTCAAGTATTATATAATTTATTATATTAGTATTACATTATTTATTCTTGCTAGTAACATGAATTTAGAAATTTTAAAAATATACATCTGTGCAAAACAACTTATTAATAAAGGTTTAACGAAAACTGATGCTTTACTAATATTACTGCTTTACTAACTCTATTAATTTCCGCCGTTTATTCCGCTGTCCGCGAAACTAATTTTTTTCCGCCGTAAGATTTCAAAATCCGCTGAAAACGGCGGGAATTCCGCCGATATGGCAACACTGAGCATGTTAGGGAGTCAATGTCTAGTCCACCTGTCAGTCGTTCTTTGCCGAGACGGGCAAGTAAGTGGGCAGACCCTTTGCCCTGTCACGACCGCGA